CACGTGCCTATAAAGGAGGACAGCTTCTCTGATCTCAACCTGTATCTCCTGATCGCCATTGTGTCGGTGTCGGTGATCTTTCTGCTGAGTCTCCTCAGTTTAATAGCTGTCAGATGCCACAGGACAGACGGCTCTTTCAGCAGGTACAGCGCCCCAATGATCACCACCCACCCTGACGGGAGCTGGTCTTACTCTAAAGCTACTCAGCAGTATGACGTGTGTTTCAGCTCAGACACACTGAAGAGTGATGTAGTGGTTTTCCCCGCAGCATTTCCACCTGTAGATGCTGAACTCATCAGTATTAATGGAGACACTTTTACCAGAACTCAGACTTTACCTAACTCTGACAAGGTAAGATCTGACCTTGTTTATTGTCTTTTTTGGGGCTTTATTGTTGAAACTTGATGTGTGGCAAATATTGAAATTTTGTGCTTGATCTGAAAGCAAAACCTTTTTCATGCCAGCCTGCTATTGTGATTTTTTATTTTTATTTTTATTTTTTTTTTTTTTATTTTGCATTTTAACATTTGAGCAAAGTAGTTAATGTTTTTTTTATGAAATTGTCAGTTGATCTGAAAAAAAATGTTCTGATATCAGGTTTGTTATCAGGAGTTTTCCATTTAATGTATGTCTAATATTACACTGCATTTTATAACTTGTATTGATTCATCATCTATTCTCATATAATACTCAACTACTGTTTTCTCAGTTGTTCAGAGCAATCATTTTAATTCTATCCTATCAAGTTCATTAAGAAGTAGATAATTCAAGCCAATCAATCAATTACATGTTTGTGCAGGACACCTGCAATGTCTTAATTATGTTTTCCTAGTTCGTCTTTATGTTACTTTTGTTTTACATAGTTATTTGGATTTCATTCATGTAATTTTATCATTTTATTTTAAATCACTTCTCAACAGATACATGAATTATCAACAATATTCCATGTGTAGGACTGTATCGTTATCCATGGTGCTGAAAAATGTGTCTCAGTGAATAGTTCAACTGAGCGGTTTATTTTGTTATTCATTTGTTATTATTCAACTTCATAAATGTTCATTATTAGGTCATCAAACTGTTAATGCTGATATAATTTGGAACATTTTCAATTAATAATTTATTGTTCTATTTTGCGTTGTGTAAAAAAAAATCATGTTGTCTTATCTCATCATTATATATATATATATATATATATATATATATATATATATATATATATAAATAGTAGTGTTTGGTTGTAAAATCAGGGGTAGATATATGATTAAATTCACACGTGGTTCTTACAGCTCTGGTTATACTGCCTAAGTTTTTGCTTAAATAATAATAATAACAGCAACAACAACAATAATAATAATAATAACAATAAACAATAATACTAATAGATACATATGAAGGCTGTTCAGTACTGCAGTAAATGTACATCGCCACACGGTGACACTTGAGACCATGACATTTTAGTAATTTTTCACACAACACAGGACTCCTCCCTGAAACAGAGCAAGATGATGATTTTTTTGCTGGTCTTTGTTAGAACGAGACGACAGACTGGTGAGACAAAGAGGATTCTGGCTGTTCGATGAAATGTAAAATAAATTATGGATTTGTTTTCTTGTTGTTGCATCTGCTGGACGACCGAGGCTGGATTATGATTTGTTCCTTTTGTTAAATGGAAGCAACCATGCGATTCTGCAGAAAAACGAGTCCTTTTTTGACTTGTTTTGTGTTCGTGCTGCTGAGCTGGAGATGGGAAGTGGTTTCTTCTCAGCTCTCTTATTCCCTCTTAGAGGAATTAAACCCAGGAACATCTGTGGGAAACATCGCAAAGGATCTAAACATAAATGTCCAGGATTTAGAGTCTCGCATGTTCCAGATTGTTGGCGCCTCAAAAAGAAAATACTTCGATGTCAATTTAAAAACAGGCATATTTTATGTCAGTGAACGAATCGACCGGGAGGAGCTTTGTGCAAAGGCGACAAAATGCACAGTGAGTATAGAGGCTGTGGTAAACAACCCGATGAAGCTTTATCGCTTAGAGATAACAGTAAAAGATGTAAATGATAACGCCCCGGTCTTCTCTGAGCATTTACAGAACATCGAGGTGCCTGAAAACACTTTACCAGGCGTTAAATTTGGACTTATAGGAGCATCAGATCTGGATGTTGGCATTAATGATGTCAATACATACAAGCTGAGTAACAATGAATATTTTTCCCTGGAGGTTCAAAAATCAGCAGAGAGTGTGTCAGCTGAGCTGGTGTTGCAGAAGTCCTTGGACCGGGAGACACACTCTGTGATAGAACTCATCCTGACTGCAGTAGATGGAGGAAATCCACCCAAGTCAGGGACATCACAGATTATTATAACTGTACTGGACATTAATGACAACCACCCTGTTTTCAGTAGGTCTCTATACAAAATTAGGATCCCTGAAAACATAATGAAAGGAACAACCATCATTACTCTGAATGCAACAGATGCAGATGAGGCTTCAAATAGTGAAATTGAATACTCTCTAAGAAAAAAAGGACAATATCGTGTTTTAGATATGTTTCAGATTGACTCTAAAACAGGTGCAATTCTAATCAAAGATACTATTGACTATGAAGAAAACCCTGCTTTTGAGATTCACGCTCAGGCCAGTGACAGAGGCCAGCCTCCGATGTCAGCTCACTGTAAAGTGCTGGTGGAGGTGTTGGACCTGAATGACAATGCTCCTGAGATTACTATGACGTCACTGATAAGCAAAGTGAAAGAAGACGCATCTGTAGGAACAGCTATAGCTCTTGTGTCTGTGCTGGACAGAGATGGAGGCAAAAACGGGGCAGCAAAAGTTGTTATTGCAAATGAGAGCCCCTTCAAACTGGAACCAAACTATAAAAACTATTACTCATTAGTTGTTAATGGTTCGCTTGACAGAGAGACTGTGGCTGAATACAATGTTACTGTAGTGGCATCTGATGAAGGAACTCCATCTCTGTCCAGCACAAACATAGTTCATGTGATGGTTTCTGACGTCAACGACAACCCACCTCGGTTCGCTGAACCAATAATTAATGTGTATGTGAGAGAGAACAGTCCAGTAGGTGAGACAGTTAAAACTGTGTCTGCAGCAGATGCTGATACAGAAAAACATGGTGAGGTGAGCTATTCGTTGTTACAAATGAATAATCAGAAAACATCTTCATCGTCACCAGTGAAAATTCATTCAGAGACAGGAGATATAATCAGTCTGCAGAGTTTTAACTATGAGGAGTTAAAAACATTTCAGTTTAAAGTTCAGGCCACAGACTCTGGTGTTCCTCCACTCAGCAGCAACGTGACTGTAAATGTTTTTATCCTGGATGAGAATGACAACAGTCCAACTATCCTGGCTCCTTATTCTGAGCTCGGTTCTGTTAACAGTGAGACCATCCCCTATTCTGCTGAAGTGGGCTACTTTGTAGCCAGGGGCGGACTGGGACAATAATCCAGGCCGGGAATTTTGATACCATCCCAGGCCACCACCACCTGATTAACGCAAACCACCAAGACTGAGTTCAATTGAGCGCACTTTGAATGCATGTTGTTTGCACACGTCTAAAAAGCCATCCATAATTTCCCATCTATTCATTTTCACTTATTGACTATTTATATGTATTGGCTATTCATATAACAAAAAAAAAGTTCTTAATCTCAACGGAACTTTACCTGGTAAAATAAAGTTTAAATAAAATATTGTAATACAAGGATTTTAATATTCAGATAATTTATTGGAGTAATGAAGGGTATACACAAAATATCCTCAATAATCCAGGTAGAAAATCTAAAAAAGTTAAGTCAGGTCCTCTGGACAGATTAAAAAAAAAAAAAAACTTGTTGAAACGTTTAGTCTTTAATCCAAAAGACTGTCAGTTTGAGAAGCTGCAACAAACTTAGTTTCAAATAGTCTCTTTTCATAGTGGATCAACCAGTTTGTTGCTGACATCCAGAACTAGCTGTTAACATGATAAAGGAGGACCATCATCAGCCTAACAATGGATCGTTAGTGCTCTAGGCTGTTTGCTATTCACAGGGGGCTGAGAGATACCAGCAATAACAGCATTGTAAGAGGGCTACAGTTGGACACAGAGGCCTCTGTCCCTGTTTAATGATGGATGAGTTCTCATCACAAAGATGGCTTCCTTTACTCCTCTCTCAAACCAACACTTCTCTCTATCAAGGATGAGCACATCTTCATCCCTGAAAGTGACTGCTGGCCTGCAGATGAGTGTAAACCACAGAGTTCTCCTGGCCTGATGATGTTGCTCTTTGGCCCAGCACAGAAGAGCAACATCTTCAGGCCAGGACTCTGCGGTCTACACTCATCTCCAGGCCAGCAGTCACTTTCAGGGATGAAGATGTGCACATCCTTGATAGAGAGGAACTATGGTTTGAGAGAGGAGTAAAGGAAGCCATCTTTGTGAAAAGAAACCATTGTTAGGGGTTGTTAGGCTGCAGGTCTTCCTTATGTTAACAGGTTGATCCACTATGAGAAGAGGCTATTTGAAACTGAGCTTGTTGCAACTCCTCAGACTGAACTTAGTTTTTTGGATTAAAGACAAAAGTTTCAACAAGTTTTTTTTTATTTGTCCAGAGGACCTGACTTAACTTTTTTAGATACAAAAAAATCTGAATTCCTAGACATTTCAACATTAAACTTTTTTCAGATCCTAACCCATATTATAAAATTTGCAATATTCTTTGTAAAAACTTAAAAACATTTGTTATATTAAGTCAGTTTGGCCCACTTAGGTCCCTCAAAGTGAAGCTAGCATGTGGATATTAAGCTGTGCTGATAAACTGTGCCAGAGTTCAATTTTTTCAACACAAGTGTTTCTCTTACCTGCTCCATTACGAACAAACATTAATTTATAGCACTTAGCAGCATCCGCGGCCAGAGCTTTTCTCTTTTTTATCCTCTCTCTCTGCTCCACCTTTCCTCTTCTTTGGCTCTGAGATGCACGCACCGCGCGCCAACACCGTCGGGAGCGCGAGTCCTAGGGCGGGGAGGGGGGCGGGCGCAATGTGTGTGTGTGTGTCTCTGCTCTGTGAGTGACACACAGAAAAGGAAGGGAGGGGGCCGGCCCGGCCGGGGGATGTGCCAGGCTTTCTCCGTCGCTGCAGTGCAGCGTGAGACCTGAGCCCAGGCAAAAGTGAATTGTTTATTTAAAATAATAAAGTCCGTGCGACCCGAACCGAGCCTTTAGTCCCGTTCCTCGGCAACCAGGCCACCGGGAATTGTCCCGACGCTCCCGATGGCCAGTCCGCCTCTGTTTGTAGCAAAGATCAGGGCTGTGGACGCAGATTCTGGATACAACGCGCTGCTTTCTTATCACCTGTCTGAGCCCAAAGGAATCAACCTGTTCAGGATTGGAACCAGCACCGGGGAGATCAGGACAAAGAGGAGAATGAGCGACAATGACCTGAAAACTCACCCCTTGGTGGT